TATGTCTTCTAAACATCAGTACATGTTGCGAACAGCATGAACATTATTTATAAAGAAAGACATTCTGAACATTGACAATACCTGCAAATACAAATATCTATATGCTTTCTGGAAAAATTGCAGATACTTGCACAAAATAGAAGCACACATTGACGTTTGTCCTACAACCATCTTAATAATATTAAAAAGCATATTCTAGGTGCCTATGAACGTCTGAGAGACTTTTATAGCTGTCAAAGAAGACATACGTCAATAGGTCATAGCAGTAAAATGACATATCAGATACGTCCTGAGGATCGTAAGTTAATTGGTTTCTGATGTCTTCGCTTCTTCTGCAATCTAGAAGTATATATCATGCAACAGATTTCAAGAATTTCATTTTTCTAAGCACCCACTATCTTCCTTCTACTTGAGCCACAATTTTCTTTCTCCTATTTCCCCAACCATATTCAAATACCAGAAAAAACATCAAAATTGTAAAATTTATTTTGTTTGACTTTCCTTTCTTCATCTTGAAAGTTTCTTCGAATTGTTTCACACATTGCCTAAAATTTATGCCTGTCGCTAAAGCAAAGTTATTTTTTCAGAGTTCTTTTTTATCTTTATTTATATAGATAGGTGTTGTGGTGCGGTTATAATTATTTCTTTATTTATATTCCAGCACAAACAAAATCAGTAAAGGATACAAATATGAAAGATTTTGGTACATCAATAAATTATACTGCTTTCCAAATATTTTGTGGTAGTTTTATACTGATTATTTTTTTTGCCCCCCTTTGGTGGATATACTATTCTCATTTCTTTCAAAGTTAGAAAATTTGGTAAATTGTCAATAACATGCTACAATATACTGTTTTAACGAAAAACTGTAGACATAATGAGTAATAAAAGTGCTCACTTTTCCTGACTTTTTTTTTGTGTGCACACAAATAATGACACTTTTTATATACAAATTCTACCAAAATTATGGCTACACAGTGTGGATACAGCATTGAGTATCTACAGTGTTCAGTAGTATGTTATTTCAAAGATATTTATTATTATTATTATTTTTCTTGCAAAAAGGACAATTCCTCAGCAAAAATGTATGTATAAAATTCAGAAGTCTGTACAGAAATGAAATAAATGGGACTTACTCCTGATCTGCCATGGGCTAGAATTTCTCAGGTTTAAAGTCAAATTTTTTTGGTTGTGTATTTAAATGAGAAATTATAAACAATTAAATTTTCGGAAAGATGATCTTTGGAAAATTTTATCAATCATCTGTAAAATGATTTTCCCTTCAATTATTTTACAGACACTTTTTTAAGTTAGTTTAAAAGGCATGATATCAATATAAATTTCAACATGATTTCAGAAAATAAGCAACTGTGGAAAAAGCCATTTTTGAATTTCTGAATTAAAATTTGGAAAATATATTTTTTTGTCTCAAGTTTTTGGTTTGCGTTATTATGAAATATTGTCCCTCAAATTGCACTTCATACAGAGTTTTAAACACAGCTCTTTAGTTATCTTTGTACCTTAGCTATCGATCACAATAAATCAGTGAACTCAGAATGGACCAACTCAGAATGGACTCTCTCTCAGATCTATTTCAAGGCTTACTTCTTTTTCTTATTTATGTAAATGTTACACCTAGGACACACAGTCAGAAAAGAATTTCTCTTTGCAGACAACACTAGAATCCATTGTTAATGAAAAACACTGAGCAAAACCATCTTCGACATCAAATTGGTTTCAAAACAAATCTGAATGTCCAATGTTATTGTCCACTGTTTATAGTTATAATTCATGACATAAACAATTTGAAAGGGCCTTTCTTCCACATTAAACCACTCCCTTGAGTGAGGAAGCCTTCAAAGAACAAACATACCACCTACCAATACATACGTTAGGAACAGAGAACAACGGAAGGAAAATCATTTCAATGAATTTTAACATCCTTGAAACAAATACAGATCTTACACTACTTACCTACATAAAAGAGTGTTTTACCCTCTTAATATACCGGGTCTGTTAAAGAGAGAATATCAAACAAATGGCATTGTATCAAGGGAAACGCAATGTGAAAATTAATGAAAACTATTGCTGACATTTAATTAGATGATGATCAACAAAACCATGTGGGCTCTGCGTTTGATGCCCAGTGAGGGTGAAAATGCATTTTGCAAGAGATGGAAATGAAAAAGTTCACAATGATAGAAGTGTGAATTCTAAATCTAATCACAGAGAAAAATGTTAAAAAATATTTTTTTAGCAAAACTTCCCAACTCAGAAACTGTCAGTGCTTCCTACATTACCCGCAAAATGGAGAAACAGAGATGTATGAGTTTGGAGTCTACAACGTGATCACATGAACATTAAGCAATGTTAATTTCAAGCATACTTTATAAAAGAATGTGAAAGAACTTAAAAAAGGGGAAGAATGGGACAGGAAGAAAATGTACTTAGGAGGTGTCAGATTCAAATGCAGAAGATGCAAATTCGGAGAAGAATGAAAAGTCTGAAGATGCTGCTGAAGCGGAAGAGGGACAAAAAGAAAGAAACAATTAAACAAGACAAGATGAAGAGGGTAGTGCCAAAAATCATGATTACGATTTTAAAGGAACATGAAAATACTGATACCTCAGGCATTAAGTTGTAACATTCTCAATAACATAATAATTTTCTATTTTACTTATCTAAGTAAGAATTAGTCAAAAAAATTTTAAGACTTCAGGAGGCCTCTCCAAAATTAAATTGCCTTATATTCAAATTCAATTTGTATTCGGGTAAATACGATAATTTCTTGAATAATTGCAATGAACAATCAATAAGTAAGTCATCCTAATGATCTCTGCTAGCTCTATTCACTAAAATGGAAGAACTGCATTACATTTTCATATAAGTAGTTTTCATAAATAGAGACAAACTTCATGCAGGATTGCTATTCATCAAATTGTAAAAGTGTGTTAAGCAAATTATATTCATACACTATTCTCATTAAAATTTTATTTAAAACATTATAAACTTAAAAATTCATTGAAAAATAGATTTAAAAAAAATTAAATATTTTCTCTTTAATTACTATGTTAAGAGTGCCAATTTGAATCACTGACTTAAATCATCATTTCCTATTAATCATGTATTCCAGATTTTCAGATTCTAATATTTATTATCTTTTGTTCCAATGAATATCAAACAGTTTATATATTTATTAAAGCTTGAAAACCTTATGTAAATCGGTCATCACTGTTATTGTTTTTTATACTGTTTTTCATTATTAATTCTTTGTGCATTTGATAACAAACGTCCTACAAGTCAGAAGGCATCTGTAAGGTGACATGGCGTCAGGGGCCCTGACCTCAGAGCTTTCAGGAAGGTGGCTTGCCCTACTCTCCATCCAACAGTGAGACTGCGAGTGAAGCGAGTCAAAAATAGATAGTTGAAATTCATACGAATGTTTTCCGAGTGTAAATTGGCACGCTCATTCTTGTTGTTCTCTTGTCAAACTTGTCCTGGCAATCTGGTCTTCCACTCCGGGGAATGTTTTAAACCGTTGCAAACCACACAAAAAATTCAAGAGGCATTAGAATGTAAAAATGGTTTCTTTATACAATAATTTTTGTGTTAAAAATACACAATTATGCAATCAATAAATGGAAAGTTGGTCAGTTTTAAATGTGATTTTCAAAATTAAAGAAAATATATTCTCATTTTTGAAATTTATTATTCAAATTTAGTTCATTGAGATGTTCTGATATTATAGCAAAAATAATAACAAATGAGTTCAATATTAATTAACGTATAATGTTGTGCATCTGCTCGTGAGACCACGAAACAATAGCTTAGCTGACGGAAGTGAGATCACAAACCTTCAGAGTAAACATGCCATTTTCCTATGTCATCTCCGAGATGTCCTCTAACCTGTAAGGCACTTTGCTGCCAGCATTAACATGAGCTGAAATGTGCAATGAGATGAGCAAGTCAAATATGCCATGCCAAGGGTTAAAAATGAAGGAATGTTGAATTACTGATAACAATGTTATCAGCACAACTTATTCTAGGAGCAGGGACTCCCATAGTAATATTTATTCTTGGGCAGAGACAGTGTTGGGTTTTTGTTAGATTGTAAAACCAAGCTAACATGTATTTCTTTTGACAAAATATAAAAAATAATTATCTTAATAATTATTAAATCATTAATTATTTTTAAGTTTTTTTTTAATATTAGTAGTAGATGAAACTTTAATAATTAAATTTTATTTTATCAAAAATGTTACTAATTAATTAAAAATTAAGACTGAAAATCTTTTTCATGTTCATTTCAAAATTTCCAATGGAGGCAGGTAACAAAAAGTTTTTTAATTGATAAGATGTGTGTGCACTTAAGAAGTTGTGAATAAACTTTATATATATAATTTGTAATGGAATAGAGATTTATTTTAATTTTTACTTCTACAACACAAACATAGGTAATTAATTTTAAAATTTCATATTATTATATCTTAAATTAAAGAACAAAAATTCAGGAGTATTCAAAAAAATATATTTTCATAAGTTTCGCATTAAACATCTGTATTTATGTATTGATATATATTTAAATCCATGGATGTATCCCCCAATCAATGTTCAAATTTTCATTGCCAAGATGGGAAGGCCAAGGAAAGGAAAAGAAACACAACAATGTTGTAGCATGAACACCTTCAATTTCATTAAATTTAAACATTAATTCTATTTTTCTTTATAAAATGATTGATTTCTTTGGTCTTCATGATTTCACCATTGTTCACTTTCATTGTCAAACAGAAGTGTCAATGAATGCAAAGAAAAGTAGAAAAGACAGCAAAGGCAATGAGTGATAATGTGTGGGAAGGACAGACAAGTGAGAGAGAAGACCATGGAGAGTGAAGATGGACTATGAGGACAGAAAGTGAAGACCGGCACTGATGAAAGACAATGAAATAAGGAAGTGAAGATGAACAGAAATTATTGCTTCATAGTTACCTGCATAAACTTACCACAAGCAAATGCTTTATGTGACCAGCTGCTATCTTCTCTACATTGCTTAGAACTGGACCCTCTAAAGCATTTTCTATTCGCTGACCTATTTCTGCCACTTTGCATAGAATGAAGCCCTTTATTACTTCAGATCCCAGTTCTGACAACCCTGAACAAAGAAGAAATGATTCTTCAAATTAACATGCATTTTCTTATCATTCACTGGATGTTGATACAATTCAACATTACAAACAATTACTGTAAAACAAAAACAGGACATTCAAATAATTAACAAAACCAAGTTACTCCAAGTTATTCAATTTTAATCGTATATTGTAAATGTTATGTTTCTAAGAAATTGCTGTTGATCATTACGCTCACAATTTTAATTATGTACAAAACAATATATTACAACTAAAAATCAATGATAAATTTCATTACATTTAAAACAATAGAAAACAACATAAATATCATCAAAAACAGATGAAAAGGACATTTTATAAAGACAAGTATCTAACACTTAATTTTCCATTACTCAAAAGGCTTACTCTATTATATACATAGAAACACACAGTAATATAGTTAGTGTACAGAAAGTTATACATGCTGCAGAAAATTTATTTTGAGATTTTAATAGAAATACACATTTTGAGGCCCCCCAATACCGAAAAAAGTATTTTTGTCCACAACTTCCATAACTGTCCGTTTGTGAATAACATTAGCGCCTAAACAATTCATATGATTTTTTTCCAAAATGAATATTCCCAACTGATCTGACCTGACTCAAGACCCTGCAATATTGGGAAGAATTCGTTGAATTTTGTGTGCACTTTACATAAAGCGGGGACATTTTCAAAATGTTACCTCAACATTTTTGCTTTAAATTTATTGTGCAAACAGACTAAAATACTCCAAGATAGCACAGGACCGACGTTCATTGTTACGCCTTAATTTTCAAATATTGCAAAAGTTTCAAACTATATGAACCTCCTTGTACAACTATATTATAAAGATAAAGATTTTTCTTCAAATAAAATTCGTTTTCCATAATAAGTCCTTTAATTAACTTCGTAATAGTCGTGAAAATGCTAATAGTTGTCACACTAATGCACATGCAGTGAAGTTAATGTTAGTGAAGAAACTGTTAGAACTTTAAAGGTGCTAGCCTTGCTGCCCAGAGGGTTTCAAACCATGTGTTTGAACTCAGTGAAGGTTGAGGATTTATGGAAAATAATGCTAATGTTGACATTCATACTTGCAGATACTGTCGCAACAAAATAGATTGCATTTTTACACTGTTATAAGTAGCTACAAAGATAACATAAGAGCTGTAGCCAGTGTCAACCTGAATAGGCAAAACGTCCAGTACTCTTTACCTCTAGATCTCTCAATGACAAACTGCTAGTAAAATAGACAACAGAGTGGATGGACATTCCATAGAGATTCCAACCACCCCTGGGAAGATTCTGGCATTGAGATCTCCATGAAGTTGGGCTGCCACGGGAATGACTGGATGATATTTTATTATATTTTCCTCCCCTGATTTCTGAAGGCTAGACCCATCCTTGAGGCAGTCAGTCACATAAACTACATAGACCCCTTCCCGGCTTTTTATTACCAGGTCAGGTTTAACTCTAACCCCTTCGGCAACAGTCGGCAACCCTCTATGAAGTTCTTGATCTCGTCATGATGCTTTATTCTTGCTGGCTGGCAAAGAAGAGTATTATTGGCAGCAGTATTTGATCACAATTGGAGTGCAGTAATAAAAAGACTGAGTTTCAGAAGATTATAATCTTTCAAAAAGGCATTTCCAATCTGATTGTTTATATGTGCCTTAACCACTCTCCCTTGGGATCCCAGCTTCTTCCAGGCAGCCACCTCGTCAGTGGCACATTTCAAATAAGCCTTTTAAATCTTGAACAGTATAGGACCAGCTGAGTCTCACTGTTGTGGCGGTCTTCAATGTCTATTGGTAGAAACTCAGACTGGAGCCCAGCCATCTGCAAATAGGATCTGCAGATTTTTCTAATCTTAATCCTAGGTTCAGTGCTATTTTAGGAACATAGTAGGTGGGCAGCAAGAATCCCAGTCCTCCGTCTCTCTTGGCCAGGTAGAATAGGCCATCTGCAGTACTTATTTGCAGATGAACTGTTTGACTGCCACTCTGATTTGACTGTTTGCTTCTTTGAGCATCAACATTGATCAAAGCAATTGATAGAGGTGACATGGCATTATGTAGGTATGAAGTAATGCCAACTTCTGAGTGGACTTTAAATGCGTCATCTGGAGCCTCGTCACTGCTTCCATCAAATTCGTTATATATGCTTTAGATGGTAAGCCATTCCAGATAGAATAGTTCACTCCCAGTCATGTTAGGGTATGATCATTACTCACCAGAGGTATTCTCGCCCCTAACCTTTCCAGACAGGGGTCCTCAATGAACCAAGATCGTTCAATGATTGTGATGTGAAATGACAATCATTGGACAACGCGACGGGCATTGTTATTCCGAGGTTCCCAAGATATTCCACTACCATATCCAGCAATTCTTGAGATCCCAGAACATCTTTTGCTAACAGCACCTGAGCCCCAGCAAATGCTAACAAACAGACACACTCCTTTCCAAAAGCGTGTATCCCGGCATGTTTTCCAATTTCTCAAGCAGGCACTCCATAATGAGATTAAAAAGCAGTGGGGACAAGGAGTCCCCCTGTTTTACTCCTCTACGAATTGACACCTCAATTTCTTTCGAGATGTGCTGAATGATGGTGGAAACATTGATGTAAGAGTCCATTACCAAATTGGTAAAGGTGTCAGGGATCCCTTTCCTGGACAGTCACCTCATGAAGAACAGTGTCCAATGCTTAGGATATATCTAGCAAAGTGCTTTCACCACCTTCTCCTTTTTCCATGCAACAGCTTTGAGAAGAATTTGAACATTAGCGAAACAGTCAAGTTCAGGGATAAAACCTTTTTAGCATGGGTTGAACCTCATCAAAATCGAATGTGTTCGTCTATAATGTCCCAAAAGAGTCTGCACAGCAGGGAAGTAATTGTGATGGGGCGATAGTTAGTGACAAACATATTATCCTTACCCTCTTTTGTGATTAGCTTGCCACCCGGAAGGCACAAAGCCACTGAATAAAATTTAGGTGTACAATAGGGACATTATTTCAATTTCCCCCCTGAAGGTATGTGGCTAACTTTTAACTTATTTAGTCCTGGAGTCATGACATTCTTCATCCCAGCCAGATGACTTAATTTCGGCAACTTGCATCGCATGTAAAATTGTGTCTGGGTCCATTTCAGGTGCTGACGATTTTTCACCCTCTCTTAATTCAGAAAACCGAATTGGGGGCGTATTACTCCAAATAGATTTGTACAGGTCATTAACCTCATCCCTGTTAGGCAGCTGTTGATTGACGCTAGTACAGCCAATGCCCGTTCTAACGGATTTATCCAAAAGCGCTGGATCTGTCTTGAAAAGGTTTTGCACTCTAGCATAAGAGAGTGCTTCCTAGCATTTTTGCCTCCATGACTACGAGGCCTTTTAGGACTGGTGGTGGTGGGTCTAGAGGAGATGCCCAAAATCTCCACTAACTTCACATGTCACGTACAATTGCTCCTGGGATTGAATATTTATTCTGAGGGAGAAGTGAGAGAATATTTCTTAAGTGCGAGTAATTTACTACATATAGGATCAAGATTTATCTATTTTCCTTACAAGGGCTCAGCAATAAGAGTTTCTGTTGCACTGTTTTCCAGAGCATGATAACAATACTTTCTTTTTTTTATGAAGTAAGGAGAGAAAGTTAAAAGAACAGTTCAATTCCTTTATAACTAGGATGTAGATTTTGATGACCTAAAACATTACCGAAAATGATAATTAAAATGCTCTTAACATGTCTTTAAAAAAGAAAAATGACAACAACAAAAATGTGATCAAAACCAGTTTGGATGAACAACTCTAGCTGTAATTGATGCTTATATTTGTTCAAACTGTTGGGTTAGATTGTCCTTGTCCAGGAAATCTCTGTCTTTAGTTATCTCCAAAAAGGCTGAATCGACAGTAGACCTGATAGGTGTCACTGGAACCTTAGATTACATAAGACGGCTGACATTACAATTTCTGAGCAAATAAATCCAATAAGCTACTCAGGAATTCTAGGGAGGCTGTGACCCCCAATCACCACTATGCTCAAGTGTTAAGTGTTCCCTTTATTCAGAAAATTATGTAGTCCAAATTTGCAGTTAAGAAAAAGGTTTACAGTAAAACCAAAATGGTAGAATAAACAAATTTGCAAAGAAAAACCTTGAGAAAGACCAGCTTCTTTGTTCTTTTACTATTTACATACACTTCAGGTGAAAGTTTGGATCTCTTTTAGAACTAACACATTTCTTATACAAATCCTAATTCTTGGGAAGAAGTTAATTTTTCTTCACATAAACTTACTCCTATGCTGCAGGGTTAATATTAATTTAATAATAAAAAAAAAAAAAATGTTCACACACAATCGCACGAGTCTAATATGAAAGAAAGAAAAAGAAAAGCAGTGAATGCAGTCAAACCAGAAAACTTTAGGATGACACACAGTCCCAAACAATGTGGATTACCCAATTCTATTAAGACCATTCATGATTGAAGTTTATATATCAAATCCTCTTGATTCAATTACCATTATAATTGCTTAATATGTTCAATACTTTATTAAATGATGTGAATAAAAGAATGAAAATACATTTCACAGAGCACATCAAGTTACTGGCCAGCAAAGCTGCCAAAGAGCATGTTTATTCAAAACAATGGGGATTTTAGAGAAAAGATGGATAGAGTTAGTGGGGTGCAATACTTCTAAAATATTATCTGGGTAAAAGTCGGGCAAATAAAATAATCTATTTACACATTGCTAATTGAAAGACGATTTGGCATCAGTTTTCATAAGTTTTAAATATCCACGCATGTTTTCTCGAGTCCTCATTTTGCTAGAAGCAAGAGGAGTGATGGGACTTGGTATTTCGATGAACGGACTATTATAGCAATTTTGTAGCTCATTTTTTTAGGCAAAACCGTTTCTATTACATGGAAGCAAACATTTCTGGTTATCAGATTTTCTCAACAACTTATTCTACTGTCCTTATTTTGAAGTCAACTCATGTTTGTGAAGAAGTGAGGGATAGGTATTTTGGGGCTCCAAAAAACTTCCACGAATAATACCAGTTCCTTGCAAGTGAAACAGTACCACATTTTCAATTAGAATAAAAAATGAATACATTAATCAATTAGTTAAGCCTGAAGTCATTTCTATTTTACATTATGGACAACCCATCTCAATTCTCTACTTTATTACAGTACAAGTGCATCACTAGCATCATCTTGAATATGAAGGAGCCTTTTTAAACCCCAAAACAAGGCCATCCCTTCAAGTGATGACAAATATTAAGTTATCTACATCCCAAAATTTAGCAACATCACTACATCACCGTTGAGTTTCATGTAATTCACATAATTGCAGTTTGTAAAAAAATATTTATTTGAGGCTGTCTGGAAAGTAGATCATTGCTGTATGGTTTTATTAGGTATTACAGGACAATTCTCTTGAAAGTGTCATGTAATGAATTTTCCTTGACTCCACTGTCACTATGGAACTGCTACCCAGAAGGAACCAAGGAGCATTGCATTATACTAAAATTTAGTGAATTAATGCTGTTTATACTGCTATGGATCTCATTTGTCAACATATACAGCACTTTCACACGTGGCACAAGCCACGTCTTCATATAGCTAAGAAACAAACTACTATCAGCAAGCCACATAGCAAAGATTCCATGTCAAAATTTATTAAGTTAGCTTTGAATACATTCAAATCACACTCATCAACTGATATTTTATTTGAAACTATTTACATTAACTGTAATTGAACAAACTACTGAAGAGATGACACGTTCCACTCCTTTTGGGAAATAATGGGACAAGCATGTTGTTTGTGACACTCCTTACCCCTCTTCATCTCGCTTTTTACAAAATTCCCTACATTCTTACATATATATTTTTTGAATTTAATAGAAGCATCTCAAAAGTTGCAGCTCTTACTTCTTTTTCTTCAATAGTGGGTGGAGCTCCTATTATTTCTAAATTATCATCCATTTCAAGATCCATTTTCACATCCATTATATCGAAGACAGTCTCATTACAATTAAAAATTACAAAAAACAACAATTATCAAGTTTGTGGCCATGCTAAAAGAACAAATGATAGAGTGATAACCACATTTTATGTCAATGATATTATTTAATTGCAGGAAAACTTGCATAAAAAAGGGTCTCGAATAACTTATTGTACATCACATGGCAAAAATCAGTTTTCATGACTCAACATGATTCTCTGCCTCAGTGGGTGAACTCTCCAGCTTCATCATTACAAAGTTGACTTTCTTGCCTAACAGTAATGTAAATTACTGTTAAATGAAGTTTACTGATACATGAAATCATTATATGATTATTATGTAAATTGCATAAGTAATGATTCAGATTAAATACCTTTATAGTTTTCAGAATAAGGAATTCAACTTTTTTTTTTTAAATAAGAGAATATAAAATAAAGAAAATTCAGATATTTTCTGCAGTTTTCAGACACCAATGCATTTAGCAAGCATTTTTTCATAAACTGGTATTGTACAAATTGACTTTATTTTCATAGTAATTTAAAGTTCACCAACATAAAACAAATTTTTTCACTGTTTTAACATCCATGTACTTTGAAACATAGTATTTTAAAATAACGATAGATCTTCAACACAGGAAACAAAATCACAAGACCTATTTCCAAAAAACACTTTAAAAGTTAAATAAGGTTATGTAGTGCAGAGTAATATTTATACCTTCTATGGCACCATACAGGGAAGAGAGAGGTGTGCGATCATTTCGTAATGCTTGACTAAACATCCGAGTCACTCGAGTTTGGACATTATTAGTAGAGGTATTAAAGTTTTTGCATATCTGTGCCATTAGGCGAGATGCAAAATCTCTCAATGCCCAATGATTATCCAGCTCAGGACGCATGCACAGTTGCTTGCTCACAATGCAAGTTGCTACTGAAGGAATTAATTCATGAAGCTGAAAACAAGAATAAAACCATTAGACAAATATTTGAAGAGGGTTGGGAAAACAGAGACTGCCCAAGTTATACATGAGCTATATGCTAGAGTGAGTTATTGGGAATGCATTTCTCATAGCTTATTTGTTGTGTTTTCTTACAATATTGCAATGAACACTGACCTCTAACCAAGCTCAATTTCTCACGTTTCTTCTTCCATTTACTTTGTAACTAAATGTTCCCTTAGGTTTTTTACCCAATTAATGGAATAGACAACTTTGTATTTAAAGTTTTGAATATTTGATGACACTTTGTACGGAAACTCTGAGGATCTGTTAACTTCAATTTTGCCACATATCATGAAGCAGATTCCAATAAGTCAATGTGAGGATAGTCCTGCAAGTCACTTATTCGGAGCATCCAACTTCTCCATTCAGTGGCCAATGACTTCTTTACATTTGCTATAAACTTATACTTCCAATCCTCATTTCGTATTCCTGTATGGGGATTCGAAAGTCATAAGAACTTGAAGGCAATTACTGGTTCCTTTGTTTTCCAAAACATTAGCAAAGTTATTCCTTTTTTCTCATTTCTCTGAATTACACCCTGATTATTTTCAGTAGTGATGGGTTTTCTCATAAATTGTTGGCCAAAAATTAAATGAAAGAAGTAGCCAAACCACTATTTTCATTTTAGTTTCTTTCAAAAATACTCTTTACTTAATATAATACTTTATGGTTAATGAAACTTCTATTTCTGACCTCTATTTCACTTAAGAAAAGGACTTTTATTCACTATGTCCTTATTTCTGGCATATCACTGTCTTATCTTCTCCCATTTACTAAGACGGACAACAAAATTATGCAATTCTAAAGTAGTACAAAACAGTACATTAATCATATGTGGCATATACTTGCAACCTTTGCAAGTTGCAATGACCATGTGTAAAATGCCACAAAAAGTCAGAGAACCATTAACCTGCTATCTAGAGAATTTTGATCATTACAAAATATGCATTTATGCAAAAAATGGGAGCCTGCATGCTATATTATAGAGGGCACATTCTATACTTATTCGTTGAATCAGACTGTTGAAGCTCAACCACAACACCACAGTTTATTGTTGATTATTTATAATCATTAACACCAAAATTACAAGACAATTCACAATTCGAAAGATAATAAGAAAGAAACGGAATGCGCTCAAAGAATACATATTTGTAATTTTTAAAAATTGGAAAATTTTATTTTAGTGCAATCCAAATTAACACAATTTTTATTTTATTTTTTGGTCAAATTCTCATTTTAAACACTTTAAGTTACAAACACTAATTGACTTAGTAGATTTCATCAAGAACATATTTATATCAATTGCCAAAGTTACTTATATAGCGACCACACGACAAATATGCAATGTATCGTGTTATTGTATGTCCCTTTTATTTCTTCAAATGACCACAGTTCTGGCCTTGAAACACATTAATTCAGCATATGTGATAATCAACAATCAAAATTGTACTGTTTTGGCATTATAATACATGGTATAATATAACACAAATTATAGTACAGAATATTTTTGTATGCAGTTATTAATACATTCACATTTATTATTACACCATTACTACATAATGTCTATGTACATCATATATACTAAAAATATATTAATCATTGCAAACCTTTGTGAAATGCATCCAAATAAAATAAATGAGTATTATATTACAATACGAAAGGCATTCAAAAAGTTCCCGGAATTGCCTCATAGCCACCAAACTAGCAATAAGACAGCATTCACATTCTTGTGGTAGGGAGCTGGGCATAATCACACATAAGCAACATTGGTCTGGATAGGTTTCAGTGTGCTGTTATGTCACTGCTCTGTCTGCATACAGTCTCAGTTCTGTCTGCATACAATCACAGTTCTGTCTGCAAACAGTCACAGTTCAAACAGCGTGTGAACAAGTTCATGTACAAACAAACAAAGTCAGCTTCAGAGACATTATCAATCCTGCAACAAGTTTATAGTGATTAAGCACTAAAGAAAATCGCAGTTAATGACTGATGAGTCTTGGGTGTTTACCAATGATGAAACTGAAGTCATCAGAGTGTCACACACCAGTGACACACAGAGTAACAGAAACATGCATTGTCAGAACCAGAGTGAAAGTGATGATCATAACCTTCTTTGATATCGACAGATTGGTGCACTCTGGAGTCTGTACCACCTGGGTCTGCTACAATGTGGTTCCAAGCCAAGGCACAAGGAAGTGTCTGCATCACGATAATGCACCAAGCCATCGCTTCTTGTGCAGAAATTCCTCGCCAAGAGAATTCCTGCCTTTCCTCAACCACTGTTATCTCCAGATTTCCTCCCAGTGATTATTGACTGTTCTCTATTCTGAAAATGGGCTTTAAACGAGCGATGTTTTGTAACCATGGGGAACACGAAATAGAAAATGATGGTTCAGCTCTGTGTACCCAAAGATGCCTTTCAATGTTTCTTCCAACAATGCCAGGAATGATGGAGAAAGTGTATGGATGTGCAAAGGTCATACTTTGAAAATTACAAGGTTACCATTGTCATCAGTGATAACATTAACATACTGAACCATTTTTCCAGGAACTTTTAGAAACGCCCTCGTATAATATATTACCATAAATTGACATAATAGTTCCAAAGAGAAAAGAGAAAAATGTACCTTATGCCAAAGGAAAAAAAGAGAAGTCAGGATGTTAAAATACACTGCAACAAAATTATGTTAATTGCATAAATTATGTTAATATGCATGGAAATGTAATATTTCCTCTCAAGGTATTTTCTGAATAAGAAATATGGTAAAATCAGAAGATCTTGTATCAGCAACAAAGTGTTACAACTGTAAGAAAAATAACATTTCAAGAGGACAGTTAGTTCCAAAATTTAATTTTACAGAACAGTACACAATAGTCATTTTATAATAATGAACAATGCTGGAATTCAGATTACTTCCGGAACAGTTCGCAGATGATCTACACAATTTTTGTTCTAAGGCACGCTGCTCATTAGTGAAATATAAACTTACAGAAGCAACAAAGAAAAAGGGCATAATTTACATTAAATAAGACATTCAAATCATGAACAAATGATTACAAGCACAGAAAAGACTATTTTCCTTCTGGGGCCATGTAATTAGGTACATTTTCATATTTAATGCTCTTATGCTCCTCAGCCACTTAGCATTGTTTGTCAAAAAAATATATTCTTTTGGAGAGACCTTCATTGAATACGTTCGCTTCTCTGATGAAATAATGCATATAATGGATGACAAAAAATAAATTTGTTAACTGTAGACTTGGAGAAGAACTTTAACATGACTGCATTAAACAACTCAGAAGGAAAGGTAATAAATAAATAAAAACAGAAGAAGAAAAGTCAAGAAAAATCATGACAAATTATAATATGGAGTACAATTTCTTTAAAAGGTTCAAACACGTTACAGATTGTAAATTGGATATTCCAAAAATAACAATGCATTTAAATGCTATGCAACTGCATTATTCAGCAAACAAAATTAGTTCACGGTAGGCAAAGCCCGATGCTACTTGTGGAAGATTTTAATGAAACATGACCATAATAACAATCTTAAAAGTTCTAAAATGTTAAGGAAACAGAAATGGAATCCTACCATGAACCAAATGAATACTTTCAAGAATATTTAAAACAACATCCAATTGATTTTTTCAGCATAAAATTGCATATGATGAACCTTGTAATTCATGATAAAAGATTATCAAAAACTATTGAATATTTCTTATATGTCATGAAATATCTGTTTGTGTTACCTGTATTTTCCCCCCTATATAAATATATAACATTAATGTTTATTTCATCAATTAAATCAATTATGCAAAAAATAAATAAAAATTCCATATTCATTGGCTATGTAGTATATTTGTAACCTCCTTCAGGAATTCATTAATGACCAATCAATCGAAAACCATATCAGTCGTCACCTATCATCAAGAGTTCAATTCATCAGAGAGGAGTCCTTTAGTAATTTGATGCCAGAAATAAGAATATACAATGACAATAAAAGCTGTTATCTGAATGCTGAATCTAATTATAATTTTAATCACTGTTCAGTGAAAAATACTGAAATGAAAAATATAACAAAAGTATATTTGAAAGAAACTCAAAACAATAATTACTCGTGTTTGACAGTATAACTAGTACGTAGAAGTACAAAAAACAATTAAAATTGAACACCTAAAATGAAATAAACGGTACACCATGAAGTTCAGAAATAAAATTGAACTAAAAATTATCCTAAAATGTCATGAAAATATTGAATTTAGCAAATGATTATCATGAAAACATTATATAAAGTACATACAAGTTCTATTGGCTTAGCTTTGCAATGATTCTCCCCAAGAAGAAAAAATATAATTGATAATTACCAGTAATTAACTTATAAACCACTAAAAAATGGAATAATATTACGTTTAATACTTACATATTTTTCCAGGTACAATGACTGATTGTCCAGCAGTGCTTTCACCATTCGCATAAGGTAAATCAAAAGGGCTAAATTATTCTGCACTACATTTACTTTTACACCTTCCGAGATAAAAGTACACATTCGAGGTAGCATCTCATGCAGGCCAGGATCAGATGCCAAACTCTGCAGAGCTTCCTAAAGCATTGATACAGACACTTGATTAAGAGGTTACACAAGGAGATGGTAAGGAAAAAGTCAGTGCAGGTTACTTGCATAGGAAAGAACAACCTATCCCAAACATAATTGACAAAACAAAAAGTTGACATAACTAAAGAGATATTGCAACAATTACATATTGTTGCCTGCAAAATTTATTGTTGCAAACCTTTTTTCTAATTCCTGTTTTAGTTAAACACCTAAATCTTTGGTTCATTGACAATTCACATTTCAAATATTAAACATCAGGATAAATATAAAAACAATATACAGGTAAATATAGTTAAAAAAGATACAACTTACACAAGGTCTGAATCCAAATATCTATGTTTTCTAAATTTAATCTTTGGCAACTTTTTTTATTAGAGTACAAAATACATCCATAAACAACTTACAGCACGTTTTGTCTCATCTGACCCAACACATGCTTCTGTGATTTCCTTATAGTAAAGTTGTTGTTCAACTGATAATTCATGGGTTGCAAGCTGCTTTACATGTACAGTTTCTACATTGCGCAGCTTGTGGACACGACTACAATAACAAAAATAAACAAAATTAGCTTCATGAAAATATTACATGGGTTTCCGTAATAAATTACAGATTAATTCAAGAAACAAAACAGCACAACTCTAATTTCATGATACAACTAGGTATGGCTTTGTTTATTTACCTCATTATTGAAAGTTTGTCAATATTCTTTTAAAATGTAAGAAGGCTGTTATTTTCTAATCAATTACAGAAATCAGATCACAAATTGCTACAAATAGCAACAGAAAATACATCAACAATTATGTTCATAAGGCTGTACTGTAATTTAATAACTCTGTACTGTAATTTACTGTTCTGATACCCAAAATTACAAATCAAGAATGGATCAAAAAGGACAAATTTGGACAAGGGCAGATCAAAAACATAAGGAGCTCTCACAGATACAATCTATTTTTCAGCAACGTGCAATAATACATAAATGGGGGCATTACTTCTTATGTCTCAACAATCATAATCACTTGTCTAAACATTTGTTTCACTGGTAAACGAAGGCAGAGACACAACCAGGGTCAAGTCTTGGGAGTCTTGACTAAGACGACTTCCTGAACTGATTTTGAACACTGGTTTCGAATTGCTTACCACCCAAGTACTTCTTTAATACCCTGTACCAGTGTGCCTCAATACCCTGTAACAGTATGCCCAGTTACTTTCTACGATTTGTGTCTTGCAATCTTTGCATCGTGTGACCGTAGCAGGTAGCATTCACTGTTTCTCCACTGGTTGAAAATTAACACAGGAATGCATCTACATGAATCCAATTCTTTCTTTTTTTAGATGGAGAACTTGAATGTCTCTGACAGCGGGGGTAATGTATGTTTCCATGCCATGGACATTTACTTTGACTCTGATGTCCCATGATGTACCATGTTTCATTTGCAGTAATGAGGCACAGGAATGACACTCCTTCCGATTAAAACTCAGTGATTTTCATCTCCTCACACCATTGAAAAAGCACTTAGGTAAAAGGTAAATCAAAAGAAATGTGTAAGTTCAGTAAGCCGTCCAGAAGTTTTTCATGGACATTCACAGCAAATGTGGAATATCAATGGTTACTTGAAAAGGTTATGCATCTTCTGGGCAATCCAGACTTGTAAAGGTTGTCAAAGATGCTCCTAATTGCCTAAGCACTAAGCACAATGAATTGGATTTTGATGGTTCAGTGGTTTCCCTAAAATTATGACAAGTACTTGACTTTTGCATCCTTATGTTGCAGTAAAAGATTGAATCATTGAATCTGAGTAATACGTGCTATGTAATAGATGGTATGAGGTTATCATTGTTGCTATAGTATTAGGTGATATGAGCTATTTACTAATACAACTTAAATTTTATAAAATGATAATTGCTAACCAGGTAAGTCAAGTTGTCTTCATTATTCTTGATACATTAATGATATAACAAAACTGATTAACATCAGATAAATTGAGTTCTCTAGTTGATTAGTTCAAGTGATCACAGAATGGCAAGACATTACTATACTGTAAATTTGAGTTCAAGGAGTTTCAGCTTATTCATATGAGACAAATACGTTATGAGAATAAAATACCCTAATATGTATTAACATGCATTTCCAAAAGAATTTGTGGTCTGTGAGGTTTACCTGATTACAGAAATCTGATCAGATGGGAGTTGCTAATTTAAAAGTGATGGACAGCAAACAATTTGCAGACAGGGGGATTGCAAACAATTTGCAAATATTTTTTTATGGATTAATTAAAATATTTAAAAGAAAACTTGGGAGCAAATTTTGAGAAAATCTGATTTACATATGTTTGAGAAATTTAAGCAATTTGACTTCAAACTTGGATGAAAACTATAAATATTTTGAAAAATCTATTGATAGCCTCATTTAAAGCGCTAATCAGAATCAAATGCTAATATTACAGAATCAATCTAGGAAAAAATATTGAACATCAATTATAGTGGTAATGTTGAAAAAAGAAAAATTAACTTGAGTGATTTTTGAAAATCAGAAGTCCGATTGAAAAGCAGACTTTGATAATATTTTTAAGCATACTATGTTCAACCTTATTTGAGAAAAATCTGAAAATGTTTTAGAGAAAATTTTGAAATTACAGTTCATACAAAGAATTCCCTAAAATGGAATGATCCGTTTGAAATTTATAAGGCAAGAAGGTTAAGCCAGATCAATTGAAGAAAATCTCATTTTGGAAAAAAGTTATGTGTACAGTTTAGGTACCAGTGTTGTTTACAGACATTTATGAATCTACCACTTTTTCAGAAACTAAAATTTTCAAAATTAGTATTTCCATCAAAAGCTTGAGATCAACTTTTTGGAACACTATACTTTCATATTCAATATATTCAAGAACAGACAGTGTGATTTTGTTCAATTGCCTTTTCTGTCTGTTAAATTTTGTTAAAATCATGATAATGGAGTAATTTCACACATAATGATCTTGATATTATTTACTAGCAGAAACCCAAGACTTCTCTCAATTATGTTTTCTGATGGTATCCAAATGTGTATGGGTAACATTAGGGACACAACTTAACTCCTGGACTCATTCTATTTCTGATACAGAACAGTGATATCAATAAAAAATTCCAAAAAACTGTACACAAGGATATTCCTGGCCCATCTCTGGGACAGCCTGAGTTAATGACACTCACCCAGTAGTTGGTTTACCAGAAGAATCCTTCTCCTTTGAAGATTTCCGTAATTTGGCAACAGGATCTATACTTTCAAGTTTCTGAACTTCTTTTGAAACAGGAGGGGGATTTTCAGGGATAGTGGGTTGCACACCCTCTATTGAAAGCCAGTGAGCTGAAAAGAAATTAGACAAACAATGCATCAATTCTCTGAATTCATGACACACAAATTCTTGCACAACATTTTTGAAAGAGGGAGCAAAGAAAAATTAATTTACATATAACAAGATGTTGGTGCACACAAGAAATAAAATTCAAAGCACAACAAAATACAGTAAAACCTTCTCAAACACCTCAATTTGGCAGTCACCTCCACCTCTACTAAAGGCAATTTTCTCATGGAATTGATCAATTTTTCCTTTAGACACATGTTCATCTGACATCCGTTTCCCTCTTTTCAGCAGCCTTCATGTCTCATAAATCAATCTTTATTAAGCAGTCACTCCAAATAATTATCAACTGTATTATAACAAAAAGTGGAAAAATGGTGGAGATAACTACTGATTTAACATCTTGCTCCTCAGGAATGCATCATCAGATTACTTTCAATAATTCAGACATGCATATCAATCAGGGATATTCCATTGTTTCAAGTAACAATAGATAAGTTTAATAAACATCTCTTAATGAAACAACACTCCATTTCCCTCACTGTTTCTCCATTTCACAGCATTCTGATGATCCTTTCCTTCAACTCCTCTGTCACACAGCCCCTCTCCTAAGTACCTACACAAAATTAATTGCATCTTCAAATCTAGTTTGCTTGTTTGATTTAGCAAGTTCAGAAAGTGAGTTTCTCATCTAAGTCAAGGGTGCGTCCGAGACAAATACTCCTAAATACCTTATTTAAATTGTATTTTGTAATTGTATAGTAATTAAAAATGATAAAGAGATCATACTTCATTTCATAGCAATAGGCAAAATTAGATTTGACTAATGTTTCCAGTAACCTCTAATATGCAGCCACCTCTAATATTAACGGCTAATATTTGCAGGAAACATGGGTAACTGCTGAAGTCAGGTTTTACTATGCTTTTCAAAGAATTAATAATAAATAGATGCAAAATATATTATTACAGTTAAAATTTAAGGAATGAGAAATGAAGGACTAAAGATTATAAGTTACAGTAATTATTTTACATTTCTTTACATTTATTCTAACACACTATGGGCGTGTTTTCATGATGTTCATGTGGTTTTCCATTAGCTTGTTTTTTTTTATTTCTATGATACTTAATTATTTTTTGGGGTCCCTACACTTTCTAAACTTCATCTACACATTTGAACATCATGTAAATTAATATTGATTATCATTAAAGCAGCAAAAATATAAAATTTGTTTGCAACTATCTGCAAATCTTTTTGCCAAAGTATAGATAATTTGAAGATAGTAATAAGTCTGATAATGAATCTGCTATTGGAACAAATTAACAGATCAAATATCTGAAGGACTATGTGGACATTAATACAAATATTTGTAATAGCAATATCAACATAGTTGAAGGCATTCAGCAAGACCTGTAAGTCTCTAAATATAATAAAATAATTTTGCATTCGCTATGATTGCACTCAAAATAACTGAATACTTTGTGAGACGTCATCGTAATTTTGTCAAATTTATTATCATTCTTTTGATTTGAAGAATTGTTTTTTCAGCACACACTAAAAGGAAAAGAAAACACATTTTGTAGAAGCAGTCACATTGACTACGTAGAAACTTATGAATTTAAAAACATGTATAATTTATGCCCTGAAATTAATACACTACAAATAATTAGTTCCTAATCCAACACACTAGAGAGTAATTATTCTTGTTGAAGATGTGAATTATACAGCGGCACAGCTGTGGAGGTGGGAGGGCTTGTGGGGCTTCAACACCATGCTTCAACGTCATAGAAGCCCACACATTAACATTTTAAACAACACATTTTCTATTATAATTTAAGTCATTCTTTTCAATTTAAGTCACTAAATATGTGATATAAATAACTAGAAATCAACAAATAAAAATAAAGTTTAAATTTGGCATAAATGAGAAATCATCCACCCATAAAAAAAAGAAAGCCTTCTTATGCTAGTTAAAGTACAGAATACATTATGCCCCAACAGAACAGTGATTGGGAAGTCTCCTTGTTTACTCACCATAAAATTATCAAAACCCCATGGAAATTAATAAAATGGCTCCAGTAGATAACACAGCACAACTTAAGGAAGTCATTTAAACCAGCACTTCCTGCCATTCAGGTGAGGGGGAAATCCACAGTAGAGGGACAAAGGGTAGTTAGTTTTGAAGGGAATCTTTTGGAAGATGGGTAGTGAGCAATACATATAATTCATTATTATGTCTTGGGTGACGTAAATAAATTTTAAAAATCAAATTACTAAACTAATTGTAATGCTTTGTGATAGATTACTTTCTTTGTTATGTCATTTCATGTCCTAGCACATTGTCGTAGTGCCAAAACTAATCTGTCTGTTGAAGAGAAAGTTGCATAGTGGTAATCTTGCAGTTTGATTTTAATTCTGTGTAGGTTGGGGAAACTGTCTAGTGATTGGCTAAGTTTCTGTCAAACAGTTTTGTTTCTCGTGATTGTCAAAGGGTTTATGTTACAATGTTGGGAATAAATGTGGGTCTTTACACATGGTGCTGAAAGATGTTTGGCCCCAATTTAGTAGATTCAAATCCATGAATTGATTGTGTCAGGTTTTATATGTCCAATGTGAAAGTGCCTATGAGGTTGGCCGCAAGGAATGAGTTGTGTGATAGCTTTGAGTGGAAGAGTAGTAAGAAAGACATCATTCATATGCTTAAGTGTTCTGTGCGAAACGGGACTTGGTTCGCGAGAAGCAAAATACAGAAAGATTCTTGGCTTTCCTTGGGGGAGTCGCCAACTGATACAAAGCATGAGGAAATCACACCACTTTGGCAAGTTTTATTCATTTATTTCTGAGCTTTTTGTAATATTATAGGGAGGGCATAAGGAGACATCCCTTCTACCCGCTGCCTTTCTCTGCTCCCGCTCCACTCTCTTCCCCTCTCCCTTCATCACCACTCCTTTCACTAGAGTGAACTGTGTTATATACTTTAATCATTAAAACTTGTACATTCTGCACTTAGGTCTTCGCAACATCTCCAGTAAATAAGCTGGCAGTTCTGTACCCTTAAGTGAAATACCTACAAATTAGCATATATTTCACTTCCATTTTTATGCCAAATTACTTTTACAACCAAGTTGACGGTTCACTATGCATTTGAGAACAAGGCTATGCCTTCAGCTCTCAAGATTTTAATTCAAAAAACATTTTAGTCTGTGCAAAATATAATTACTAATACTTTCACCCCCCATTCTTGTTCTTTCTATATCCATCCTCTTGTCTCATCCCATTTCACTAACTGAACACACATTGAAAATTTCTACAAAACTATGTACCGATTAGAAGTAGGGCAAATGGACAGCAATTATTTAGGATGCAGTTATCCAATAAAAAATAAGGTCATAACTTACTTTTTGATTTGGAAGCTCCCAATTGGATAAAAACATCCCAGCAGATCAAAAGTCAATTCATGTTTTAATCACATCAATTACATTTTCAAAAGAGTATATACAAAAAACATTCAAGAAACAACTGCATCTTTCCTGAAAGTTTCCTTTCAAATCCTCTTAACTTCCCTCATCCTCCTGACATGGGTTTCCTTTGCGAAAGTGGTGCAAATTGCCAGTTTGAACAACACCCTAAGTTGTACCGGCTTTGTTCAATCAACCCTTCCCTACCGATTTTCTGAAATCCTCCATCGTAACAATGCTTACTTACATAAAATCCACTAATCTTTACAGTTCATCTTAAAGAATTTCAAACCAGTTTTTTGAGAAAGTTTTTCTATCTCCTGAAGCATTTCAGTTATACAACTGATGTTTAAACACTAATTTCTTGACAGGGATTACAACTCGCCCCTTCACTTGCCAATAAAGGCTGAAGTCTAGTACACAGTACAACTTAAGGAAGTCGTTTAAACCAGCAGTTCATACGGCTCCTGTGAGGGAGAAATCCACAGTGGAGGGGACAAAGGGTGTTATGAGGGGAACCTTTCAGTGGGGAGGGGTGGTGAGCAATATGCGTAACTTAGTACATACATATAAAAAGCAAAGCATGAGCGATTTATATCGATTATAAAAAAATACTCTTCTGAAATAATTTTAATGGTTCATAATTTGTCACGAACGTGACGTCAAAAGTTAGTGGTGTGGGGAAATTTCACCCTAATATCTTGTTGAAACTTCATTGGTGTATGGTGGGGCATAAATCATGTGCCTACGTGATTTTGTGTTGGGTAGCTGTCGAAGTGTTTAGCTACGTTGCTGTCGTACAGTTAAGTTTTTTGTGTTTTTCAGATTCTTTGCAATTTATGTTTTTGAGTGTCGAGTGTCTGTGAGGTACAACGGTGAGAATAAATGTGTTTTTTTGCGCATTGCACCAAAAGGGGTGTTTGGCAGTCATTGAATGGGCGCAAGAATGAAGTTTGATTGCTGCAGGATTTAAGTGTGCTGTGTGTAAATGACCTACGAGGTTGGACAAGCGAAAGTTGTGTGATGGTTTCGAGTGGAAGTAGAGCAAGAAAGGGGCCACTCCTCATGTGCGTAAGTGTTCCGTGCAGAAGGGGCCATGGTTTGCGGTAAAGAAGTTGAGTATAATTAAGGTATTAATAATGACTTATCATCGGGTTATAAAATTGTCGTCAAACCACCATAAAAATCGCCTATTAGTAAGTTTCATTCATTTCTGTCAGAGCGCTTAATGTAATTTGAGGGAGGGCTAGAGGAGACCCCTCCTCCCCCTTCCCCGCCGCCCCTACTTCTCTAAGGGTGTACCGGGTATCCTACTTCAACCCAAATGAATTATTTCCAAAATTGTTTTGCAATATCCATAAATACAAGGGAAAGGGTGTAAGTATGACACCCATAAGACGAAAAAAACGGCTGAAATTTTCAGTTTGTTCTTGTTAGTAATGGAAGTGTTTAAAGAGTGGTTTGAATTAAATCAGACATGTGAGGACATTTATGATTATTATTCATTTATGACGATTCAAGTGCCCCTGAACTCTACACAACCCTCTGCACAATCAAGGATTAAGCTAGTCTTCACTGCATAAAAGTAATCTGCCCCTGCAATTGTGAAATATCATCCAGAATTATTACTTGAATCTCTGAAAAGTAAATCAAATTTCAGTTGAAGTCTAGTATACGGTACAACTTAAGGAAGTCGTTTAAACTCGCATTTCACGCCACTCAGGCAGCAACTGCCCAGTTTGAATTCTGGAGGCTTTCTTATAAAAGTTAATTGGTAATTATGCGGTGGATACTCTCAAGGATGTTTATATTGAACGTGAGAGCTGAAGACCTGAGCCTCGCTGTTACTTGGATCTGGGTTAGCAAAGCGATAAAACTACAATGTGTCTGGGACAAAGCATTTGAAGGACAAGCCATCAAAATTGCCTATCCATAGGTTTTATTCATTTCTATCAGAGCGCATAGCATAATTTGAGAGAGGACTTAAGTAGATTCCTCCCCCTCCCCGCTGTCACACTTCTCTGAGGGTGTACTGTGTACCCTGTTTTAACCCGAATTTCTCCCAGATAGTGTCATAGCGAATACATACCCAAATTTGAGAGAAAATGTTTTAAAAACAGGATATTTGACAACTATGTTCAAACCAGGACATAGAACAAACCCATACTTGTCTTTCACCTATTAGAATTTCTGCACAGCATAGCGAAAAAAGTGATTAACAATCACATGACCAGTAGCGTGTGATGTGAAATACACTGCAATGGTGAAGAATTGCTGTATACACTAGTTCACAAACACACACACAATATTTACACAAGAAACTCACGGCACATAAATTTCATTCCAAAAACACTGCCTTCACACACCTCTTAGAGTCACTTCCAAAGGTAGTTTAGGAAATGGCATGTTAATAACTTCCTGTAAATCCACTTCCTTATCTTCTATGAAGTGTAACTCACGGCCGCCACCAGAAGCAAAGCGAAATGGAATGTGATCCATAGCGTAAACTCCATAAAGAGGCTGTTACAATAAAATTCACCATATAATTCACTAACTAAAAAAAAAAAAAATTTCACATGAAACAAAATATTCAAGAACAATACCTCTACATTCTTAATTTTCAATGCATCGTCTATGTCTGTGCCAAGTAACTTTTGTCGTTTCGCGTGATGCATAAACTTAGCAGAATCCTGAAAAAAATTAAATAATTAACATCAGTACACTATGTTTATATAATGTTTTGGTAGTGTGCTAGCAAAGCACTTACTACTAAGCTAAGTATATTTGAATTTCACATTGCTTCTGAACTGTCATCTCAATACATTTCCAAAATAATAAAATCATTAAGTAAACCACCTCGTTTTTCATTAATGACTTACCGTGACAACCACATCATAATTATTTACTCAAGTGGTATAAATGCACATACAAATAAAAACAAATAAAATACAGAGAAATCTCACCTGAACGATCTGCTTGAGTCTGTAAGACACATCATCCGCAAGCTCCTTCGCAGCTTCATCTGGCAAGTTTCCAATACCTATACTTTCTGCTATTACTTTTATAGACTCTAGCGACAAGTTTGTCCCATATACCATATCATTTTCTGTCATCTTGAATACATTAGGGCGTAGCCACCTTCGCGACGCTACCTACCTTCCGCCATTTTACTTTTCCACGCCGGCCGAGGCTGATTTGACCGAAAACTCGACTGACCCGCCCACAAGCGCAACATCTATCGGAACTGTAAGGAAACATTTTACAGGGTCACCAACATACAACCGGCACTTTCAACGAAACGGCAGCTTCAGACAAGTTCCCAACTGCTGTTTCTTCTTCATTATGTTTTCATTATGCAAGATGAAAGACCCAGACTTTTTCGTGAATAAGCACTAGGTCTGAAATGTTTATTTGTTTTCCAGATGTTCATAAATTATTCATTGCTTTATCGTTCTATATTTATTGGCTCTTGTGGTTTGTATTTTTGGCTTTTGCAGCCATTGATAACCTTCGTTCTTTCATTCTTTATAAGATCCTCCAATAATGTTTCCATTGTTTTTAACTTCCTCTGATATATTTTATGTGTGAAGTAATTTCCTTTTGTATTTAGGCTATGTCTGTATAGCTTTGTACAGCCAAGTATAAGTAACGTCATTGTAGCTGCTTCCAGTCTTTGGTTAATTATGTTTCAACACGTAGGTATTTGAATCATACCTCATTTACATGACTGCCATACTGTGGTTTCTTAATTTGATTCCATGTGTCGTTACTCAACCAACGTACCTTTTTTTTAATTTAAGGTCGCATCAACTTCTAGGTCATTAGCGACCACTATTGCTTGTAACGGTATGGTAACTGTGGGATGACACGATGTAAAAATGATAGGGGACCGGATTGACCGGTTCGGCAACGTACCTTTTGTTTATGCTATTTATTCTATTGCATTACGAAATTTGTTTTGCGGGACTCGAGAGTCTGATACTATTATTGCCTATATGAGTTTAAGCATTGATTTGTATTTTCGGGTGCGTCAACTGCCGTTGTCACAAGTCCCGAAAGTGTAGTGCATGTGCAACATTGCTGACGGTGGCGATGTCCTTCCCCCACTAGTACGTGAATTGCTGCGACTTACATGTCATTTTGCAGAGATTATCTCTCCAGGAATCTCTACCAGCGGGGCACCGCCGCAGCCGGAACTTTCGACTGGTTCCTGACGTGTGTGTGTGGGGGGCTGTGCATGGATCGGCACGCGTGCGCCCTTAAGAGGAAAGGAAGGAATATTGATGATGATGATGATGATAATAATAATAATAATAATAATAATAATAATAATAATAATAATAATAATTACTACATAAAGCATCAAGCAAAGTCAGTCTAGAAATTAATTAAAATTACAGTAAGTTAATTTCATTAATATTCAGTAATAATATAATAAGTTTAAATTATCTTTTTAAATTACATAATAAATATATACCTAATTGATTAATATAGAAAATTACATTAATTTATGTTATAGCGAATTACATTCAATTACATACCTTACAGTAATGATGCAAATTGTTTACTCAATGAATTACATGAATAATAATGCAATGACTCATAATAAACATTAAGGTAAATTAAATTTTAAACTACACAAAGCCTCATTAACACATAACAAATAACAATAAACTAGTAGAGTATGATACAGTGGCAAATAGCTTACAATTAAGAGTACAAAATTCCCTTATCTTACAGTAGCAGTTTAATTAACTTACAATAACATGAATGCATTAGATGTAAGATTAATGATAATAATTAAACTAATTACAATAACTTTGACATATAATCACATTATTTACTATATTACTGAATAGTAATTATTGGAATTGTCTTATTGGACTGAATGATGACAGGTACAAAGAGTGGTCACTCTTGTAGCGGTACATTTTTTTAATTACAGAAAGTTAAAGCAATTCAGATATCTTTTATGGACACATACTAATAAGATGATGTTTAAGCATTGTTTTCAAGTATTTATCATCAGCAGTTTTTATTTTAACTGAGAGTTTATTAGAGCTGTGCAGCAATGCAGAAAGGATCTTTGTTAGTTGCAAACTTGCCAGTGTATATCCTATGATAGTCCCTCTGTCCTCTAGTATGGTGGTTATGTATCTCTTTATTGCTAACAAAATATTCATTTTGATTATTTGTCATTAGTAATAAAACTTTGTAAAAGTATAGTTCTACAACAGTGAGTAATTCATATTTAATAAAGAAATCTTTACAGGACTGTCTGGGATTCAGTTTAAAAATGCTTCTTATACATTTTCTTTGTAGGACCATTAATCTATCCATATTTTTTTTATGTTGTACCATCCCAAATTTCAAATGTGAATTGATTACTGTATTGAAAATTTTTGAAAATTATTGATTGTTGCATTGAAGTTGAGAGAAGATTGTCCCATAGTATACTGAAATAAGTGCATCAATTTCCAGGTATCTGAAAAAGTACCTCAAGAAGAATTCATTAGAGTTTATTTTATTACAAAGTGTATTAATTTTTTTGCTATATTTTAGATTTTGATCTATGAATATACCTAAGAACTTATAACAATCAGTTTGGTTCACTGATTCATTGTCTACTTCCACTTTTATGTTTTGATGTTGGTGACCGTGATGAAACTTGAAGTTGATTAATACAGTTTTATCAACGTTTAATTTCAATTCATTTATGGACAAATAACTTTTAATTTATTTTAATGGTTCAGTTAGGTTAGCTTCTAAACGACAAAGATTTTGCCCACTACTTATTTATGTTGTATCATCTGCTTAAGAAATTACAGAGAAATCATATGAGCTTGGAATATCATTAACATATAATAGAAGTAGCAAAGGTCCAAGCATCTTCATTTCCATTTCTTTTTATGAATTTTAAGAAGCTTCCCCATCATGCTGCCAATTATTATATTACAAAATGGTTACATGGCATTTGAAACTAGTGGCACTACAAATGGCACAGACTTTCTCGTACTAATTAGTTTTCTAATTTCTTTGGCCTGGGCAAGCTTTCCGGACTTGTCACATACTTTTGACAGCTGCCATCTATTGCCACCCCAAAACATATTTTTTGAAGTTCTCTCAAATTGTCGGTTTTCTAATGGTACATTCGAAATATTTATTTCCAAATATTAAAGAAAAGTGAAACCGCTTCCTATATGCAAACTTTCATTGAAAAATGTGGAACCGTTTTTAAGTAAAAATTGTTTGAGAGCTAGTGTAAATACGAAATTTCCAGGAATCCAGGAATATTTTGTGTTTTCGAAAAACTTCATTCGAAGTCATTTGAAGTACATTCATTCACAAATGAATACCAATCTCTGGTATTGAGCACATTAACGGCGTGGGAGATATTTTAAATAAATTACATTAGTGTATGTTTTAAATACAAAAGAATATCCCAAAATGAACTTTATGTCATACTAGCAAAATACCCGGCGTTGCCCGGATATTTGCTTTCCCGTATACGTATTATAGGGAAAGTTATGTAATGTTGCAGAAAATCGATTTCGAGATTTCAATGGAAATACACGTTTTGGAGTCTTCTAACACCGAAAAAGTGGTTATTTCCAAAACGTCCGTCTGTCTGTGAACACCAAGCCTAAATCATGCGTAGGATTTTTTTCAAATTGATGAAACCCCTGTCCACATGGCTCGAGTTGAAGTTTTGAGATTTTGAAAAACTTTCTTTAACATTTTGGGGTACTTTACATGAATTTCTCCAGACATTTTCAAAATTTTCTGAAAAACGGCTCCAAATTTGTTTTTAAATTTCTTGTAAGAATAGAGTAAATTACATTCATAACGGTAGGATAGGTCCGATTTTCACGGTTAACTCTAAATTTTCGATAATTATAGAAGTTTGATTTTTTTCTGTGACTTCTTACAACTACAAAATTAAAGATAGAGATCTTTTTATTGAAATAAAATGTGTTCTCCATTGTTAGTTGTTACCCACTTTGGGAGAATGTGTTATTAGGATTTTCTTTTGTGTTTTGAGGATCTCGCAAAGTTGTGAATTTCTTAAAATGTTACAGGTAGATACAGAAGTGGAAGAAGAGCAATCTTACATTTC